CATCAGTGGTATTTAAGAAACAGTTTGAGAGCGGTAATGAAACACAAAACATTTAATTATCTGAAAATCTAAAGAAAGAGTGCCAAAATATTGAAGTACTGTAGAAGCTTTTGGTTGATTAGTCAAGTAATGGTCTTTTGATGGAAGATTAATCTACTTTTGTTTTGAAAGCCCATTAATCATTTAACTTGCCACCTCCCAAATGTGAGAATTTGTTGCATTTCCTCATATTGCAATTTAATTGCATGTCTTTGTGTTTTGAACCAGTGGTTAGGCATTTAAAGTCACGGACTTGAGATTTAATTTACTGGTTATGCGATAATGTGATAAAATGAATAGAGCTCTGTGTGTGCTGTATTAACTCCTCCATTTAGCATCAGATGCTGAAATACATGTTGCATACATATACCTGAAATTACACTTTACAAATGATCAGAGAAGTCATATGAATAATAACTTAAAAATAAAACTTGAACTTTCTCCTCACGCATCCAACCTGTTCATTAAGTGGGATGTAAGAAGGAATGTTGAAACATGTTATGCAGCCAATTTGTTCTCACATTAATTCAGCTAATTAAAGTATTTTCTGCTGGTAGTGAATCCATTTAATTTATTCACTGTACCGTTTGGGCCAAGACAGCTCGCCTCCACATGTCCACACATACTCGGTCACTGTCAATGGCTTTTTATGCCTCCGCACTCTGGTGATAGCCGCAGCATTATGTTTTCGGGTTGTCTTGTCATCCGTCTGTACGTCCACCCATTCTTGTGAACGCAATATCTCAAGAACACCTTGAGGGATTTTCTTCAAATTTGGCAAGTGCCCACTTCGACTCAAGGATTAGATTTTGGTGGTCATAGGTCAAGGTTAGTGACCATACATTTGTCCCATTCGTGTGAATTTGACTGGTTGGTGGAGCCATACAACTGTGAAGCATTAATTCTAGTTTTCTTCAAGTTCCCCATCAACTTAAAGCTACCTAATTTCTTTTCAGCTACTAGAAAGTCTATTGAGACTCAAAACAAACTGATGCCATAAGTCACTCCTAATGGCTTTTTGTCCATCACTTCCTGTTACATAGCAACAACGTAAACCATGGATGCGTGTTTGTGACAAACTGTACAAAATGTTTCCTCCACAACTGAATCAAACATGAGCCCTGCGTTTAAAACTCTCTCCATCTCAAAAAACCAAACTGATGTTAACCTTGGTTTTACTCTTTCTTTGTCTGACCCCCGCTCTGAAGCTGGAATTACAACAGAAGGGCTGTAAATGGCAGCCTGTCATAGATGGGCAGTGGTGTCTCTGTCTCATAGCTGAGAGACACCACATCCTGTCTCATTTTCAGTCACTGTGTAAAATCTTCATCTTTAAAAAGGAATTCAGAACACATCATCTTATTACATTCATCAAAAGAAACCAGGAACCTCACCGTGGGTTGTAGAACTGGTAAAAATCCACCAGCTCTTATGCTGTATGCTGTTCAGAGAGCAACCAGCTGGACGCCTGACCTGATGACTTGACCGCCACGCTCCTGTTGTCCCATCCTTAAGTGCAGGGACACAGACTGAGAGGATAATATGAAGAGACAGAATGACGCAGATTGAGAACAAGAAATAAAAACTAGAGAGAAAGAAAGCTTTGTCAAACAAGTCCTTGCCTTCAGCATCATTTCTTCATATGTTTCATGTTAAGCCATTGTTTATAAAAGATGGAGATGCCAATTGCAGCTGTCCCCTGGGCAGGGGAAGAGCACAGATATCGAAAGGCAGCAAAAATGCCTGCGTTAAGATCCTGTACCAAACCCATCCATTACAGCGAGTTCATATTATGCATTCCCAGAATTAGCTTGGGTTAGTGGCTAAAATGGTTGTGATGTACTGGCAGTCTATTTTTCTCCATTAGTGAGCTCTAACTTTGTTCTCTGGTTGCTTCTTTTGATTTCTTTTGAGTTTCAGTGTTGGCCGGTGTTGCATGGTATTAGTGGACACATCATGTGGTTGAGTAAAACGTGTTCATTTAAAACAATAAAAATATGACTCATAAAGACTCTCAAGCATGCATGACCAATAACAGTTTTTGTTTATAATGTTGAAATGACTAAGTGGATTTGTGTGGGTGAATTAGAAATAGCCCAGGAGTGGTTAAAATAAAAGCCAAGAATTGTGATAATCTACTAAACTCTTGCTGGTTTTAACTTCCAAAATCTGACTGTTTGTTGCATTTACGTGACTATAAGATCAATAGCTTAGAGGTCTGGACTATTGGACAGGTAAACAATGAAATAATAACTAATGAACCTTTTCAGTCTTTTCAGCGATGATTGCGAGTGTAACTGTGGTAAAATTCTGTTTGCAGAGGGGCAAACTGCATGAAACATATAGTCCATATGGTAAAATGTCAGTTCTCCAGTGTACTGTAGTTCACATACGCTACAGAAACATCCCTCTCAGCGCGTCCTCCAGCAGTTATCTTCTGGTGATCATTGGCAATTTAAGATGAAAGCTTCAGTGTTGGGGCTAATTGATGGAAGTCCTTCAATGTCGTGTTTATCCTCACTATGGTACTGGGGCCTGTGTGGTGTATTTGGACTAACTGTTGCCACTAGCAGTATTTGTTATGTGGTATTTTGTGGTTGGTTGTGCCTAATTGTAGTTGATAGTAATGGTTCCAGTCTGTGTACACAACCTGAAGCAAAGGCAGTGCTACAACACTCACACATTAATGCACACCTCTCCTTATTTTCCACATCCTGGAGCATGCAACCATGCCTGAGGTATGAAAATGAACAAATGACGTGTTGTGTAATAAATCATAATGTTGCTCTTTGTAATTCCTGTTCCACTGCATTTGAATCATTCATAATTTCACAATTATCAATTAAATTTTAAGTTACAGGACAGATGGAAAGACAGTCAGGCCAGTCAGTGCTCCTTAGGTCAGAGTCACTGCTTTACCACAACGATCTGTAGTTTTCCACCACATGCGTGTGTGTATGTGTGAAATGAATGATGAATTCTGACTGGGTGTGGTGAACATCAGATGAGATTTCCCTCTGCTCCCTGCACTCGCTCACTCACTCTCCCTCACACACACACACACGCACAGCGAGTGCCAGGGCTGGTTTAGGCGTGGGCCCTTGCAGACATAAATTGCTTTATTTTAATAGCTGTATAGTAGCGAAGGAGGGAGACAACATGGTAAAACACCAGAAAGGTCACAGAGAGAAAATTGGATTCGACAAAGAAAGCACCTCTCTCTCACTCTGCCATTTTTCTTCTCTTCTCTCTGTGTGTTTTATTTAGTTTTCTTCTTAATCCACTAGATTATGTTACAGAGTCATTGAAACATAGTCCTTTTTAATCTCTTTATGTGGATCTGTATGTTTGTTTATGGTCATCTGATTATCTGTTTCCAGCTTCCATTTCCATTTACTTCTCTTTCTTTAGACTTGTGCTTCTGTGTGTGTGTGTGTGTGTGTGTGTGAGAGTGGCTTAACTGTTTGCGGTTCCCTATCACAAAATAACAATGAGCGTTTATCTCTCACACTAACATGGGCTTACTCACTGGTGCCTTGCATGCTATCTCTTTTCCACACGCATCATCAAACAAGCATTACTCACGCAGTGTCTGTCCCCCTCATGTTGCATTGATCTAAAACCGATCAGTTTTCGGCGTCTATCAGGCGTCTGTTGTGTTTCACTGTATGACCAAACACGCACACTCAGTGTACGGGTCGATGGGTTGACTGTGTTTACGACTGAATTTGAACTGAATAACCACAAATAAACACACGCTCTCATACGCGCACATCTCTCTGTCATGACTGCTGTGACCACAATTGTTCTCTTCCCAAACAAAAGAAATATTATGGTTTAACATAAAGCATATGGTTGGTTATTTGATGGCTTTGTATAGTGATTATTGAGGGGGGGCAGTATGGGGCAGGAACAGAAAGAATAATTCTAATGATGGAATTGCTTAGATGACTAACAATTATTCTTTCATGTGAAAGAGGGCAATAGAGAATAAAAATGACTGAAATGCAAGCTAAATGCTTTGATATTTACCTTTTTATTAGAGAGAGGTATTTTACACTGATTGTAAATAAGCATGGTGGTGAAAAAGACAAGGAAAGGGATGAAAAGAGTTTGGTACAAAAGCAAAATTGGCATATAACACAAGAGATAAACAGTCAAAAAGAGAATAAAGAAGAGGGGAAGACGAAGGACAGGAGGTGACGCTGATCAAGTGCAAAAACAGCGATAGTGAAAGATGAGAAAAAAGAATTTGGGAGCCAGAAAATGAATGAAAGGCATGCCGAAAGAGATGCAAAAGACAGAGAAATTTGGAGCGCTGGAGGGGTTGAATCGCAGTCTGCCGCCTCTCACATCCATCTTTCTGATATGGGGTGTGCGGTTTGATGTGGTTGAGTGTTGGCCATTCTCCCTGACTCTCCCTCTGTCTCCCCCGTTTCTCTCTGTGCCTCGCACTCCCTCTACCAGCCCTCTGTCTGATATGGTTAGGGTTTTGATGTGGTCATGTGTTGAAGATTCTCATGGATGGTTTCCATAATGATAAAAAGATTTGTTCCCTGGTTTTTGGTGGAAGGCAGAAAAGTTGCACTCGAGTATGCGACGAACATCCCAACGCACAACCCTGAAACATCTCACAGCTGAGATGTTTCTGATTTGTTGCGACTGTTGTTCTTTCTTGAGGTTTGTGGTTGAGGATTATAGCATTCAAAGAAGTTTGTAAATTGAATTAAAGCCATTCTGTGCATAGACATTATTGTCAGAAAATGATATTTGTGTGCATGTGTGTTTGTGCAGTTCGCATTATATTTTTAAGTCCAAAAGGCACTTTATATCTCATAGTGTTTTGACTTTATGGGATTATGGAAATTTACTTGATGTTTTCACATCCCTGGTCCTGCAGCAAAACATAACCTACATCCTTTTGATAAAGTAAACTTTTTCTCTTTTCTCACTCTTTTCAGAGATGGTGAGGAAGAAGAATCCCCCTATCCGGAGTGTGGGAGGTGAGGAGGAGGAGGAGGAAGAAGAGAGGAGGAGGCCAGCGGGAGAAGAAGAAGAGGAGGGAGAGAAAGAGGGGAGAGTGGGAGCAGAGGCTGAGCGAATAAACCGACCCTCGGAGCCAGAATCCTCCGACCGGATCAGAGGAGATGAGGAGCAGGAGGAGGAGGAGGGAGAAAGTGAGTGCGTCTCCTCGTCCGTCTCTCCCTCATCTGTCAGTGATCGTTACAGTAATGAGGAGAGAGGGGGGAGGAGAGGAGGAGGGGGGAGGGCCAAACAAGGAGGGGCAGCAATGACTGACAGACCTGAGAGCCAGTCGGAGCCTGAGGATGGGGAGAGGGGAGTAGAGGAAGGAGAAAGGAGTGAAAGAGACAGAGGGGAAGCAGATCATCATATTCCTGCATTCCTCTCCGCTCCCCACCTCCACCTCCAACAGGAAGCAGGGGAGGAGCCAACAACTGACACCCCTCCACTTTCCTCCAGTCCCTCTCCTAAACTCCAGGACTTCAAGTGCAACGTGTGCGGTTACGGTTACTACGGCAATGACCCCGCTGACCTGGTGAAGCACTTTAGGAAGTATCACCTGGGTCTGCACAACCGCACACGGCAGGATGCTGCCCTTGACACGCACATCCTGGCCCTCCACAACATGGCTCCCCAGCACACACCTCTAGGTAATTCCAGCTCTGAGATGAATAACTTTGATTTACTACATTAATCATTGGACAAAATGTTGATTAAATTGTTAAATGTAAAAATAGCATGGATTTCTATACAGTGACATAGGACCAGGGTCAGTAAGTATCTTATAACAAACTATTATTTGTTGACTGGTTAAACCCTGCTACACTGTGCCAAGTTGCACCTGTCATAACTAATGAAACCAAGCTTCAGAATGTTGTAAAGTTGTATTTTTATGAAGCTGTAAGGTATTGACTTTGTAAAGTTAGTTTTTTAGTATGCTTGGTGTGCAGCAGTTTATTTATAGTTGTTGATCTAAAAGTTTTCTCCTTTCCAGATGTTGCACTTGTCCTTGGTTTTTTTTTTTTTTTTCCTCTGGCAGCCCAACCCCTTTTTGTTGTTTCTGCTTCTTCAAGTCTGACTCCTCCTTCTGTTTGTTTTCCCAGACATACAGGCAGGACAAGGACAGAGGAACCAAGCCAAAGATTTGGGGAAAACAAGGCCAGATGTACACAATCAACATCATAGGACAGTTATGATGAATGGCACGTATGATGTACAGGTATGTACTGGTCACAGTCAGTCAATGCAGAGAAACAGATTCAACATAGTTTACGCTTAAGCTTTCATGAGTTCCACTATATATCAGTTAAAGCATCTTAATTAATTCACTTATACACTAAAAGTGCACTATATGTTCCTTTAAAAGAACGAGTGTACACAGAGTATAGGCAGACAGTGTTAAGTTAAATGTAAAGAAGAACAAGCATGAAAACTCCTATTGTTACCTCTTCTTTCCTGTATAAAACATGTATTTCTGGACTCTGTGTCGCTGAGCAGCGGTCACTTTCCCAGTCCCATTTACTGTCACCCTTGAAAACAGAGCATAACAGAAGTTTTGCGATTGGTGCACTTGCTGTCTGGTTATCGACTTGTTATCACGTTTGGTGAACCTCATCCTGTCACAATCACACTTAGCTGCAAACACCCCCCCCCCACTCCCCCTCCCCCCCCTTGGCAACACGCTCCAAAATGTCAGTATGCACCACAGAACCACCACCATAAGGTGATATTGCCATCATAGCTCCTGTTTCGACTGTACAGTGAGATGGTGCTAATTCTTGCAACTTTGAAGCTGGTTTCAGTTTCAGTCATTTTCACTTGCCTGATTATTATTATGTATCTTGGTTTTTCTTATCTCTGTGCACCATCAGAATTGATGCTGTAATTTTCTTTGTCATGTATTTTTCATCTAGAATTCTTAAGAATTCATATTTTGTCCTATGCACTTAGCAGGAAACCAGAATGTTCCAAAAAGTACATCAGAGAGGCACAGATGTACTTGTTATGCAGTATTAATACAACCTGCTTTTGCATATGCTTTCCAAAATGGCACAGATCTCTGTGAAAGTAAATTCTAATGGCATACTTCTGAAGGGTTCTTTTAACTAATTTAATAAAACAGGACAAATATAACAAATATCTGCACTCATCTTCTTTATACGTTTCATTTTTGAGGCTTCCAACATGTCAATGGAATTCAGTATTCACAATTTAACATACATTTTTATAGGCAGCACTATGAGCAGTTTTCGCTTGGAAATGAATTTCAGTTGCTAAATTACTGAGAACTGGAAGTGCCTGTCAGACTGGCCTCCTAGAATGGTCATTAGTAGGTATATTTCTGTAGAAAACATTGAAATCTTGTGGAATTGCTCTTATTTAGCAGGAGGAATTGTCACTTTCTGCAGCCAATATTCCTAATAGATCTAATAACAGCCTCAGTTAGAAGCCTAAAAAAACGTACAAACCTCATACTGCAGGTATATTTTCAGTACTAATCTCATATTCATACATATCCAGTATGTTAAAAAAGGCTTTTGTTACTGTTTTATATTTAGTAGCCTTTTTCTGCATTGTGACTCCTCCAGTTTTGGTAACAATTGGGCCAGGAATTTGGACTTTGAGTGTGCATGAACAGTAGGGTTTTGTTTGAAAGGTTTGGACTAGATGATCTAATAAACCAAATGTGTGTGTGTGAGGAATACTCAAGGAGCCTTACTTCATTTAAACCAGCAGGCTGTAATGGTTGTAAGTCACGTAATGGACACAGAAACACACATACACTCACACAGAGCTGTCAAGCACACACACACACACACATACATCCTTGTTTTCATCCCTTGTGGAGACTTTACATTGACTTCCATTTATTTCCTGGAGATGTACCCTAACCTTAAACCAAGTCATCACTCTAAAATTCAATGATTTACTTTTGGTCCACATATGGAAGGTGGGTCCATAAGATGTGAGTGATCTCCCGGTTTTGGGCCCCCACAGGTATAGAAAAACGAGGCCATACACACACACACCCCAGAAATAGAAAATCCAGTGGGCTTAAGTCGTCATTATGAAGAAAAAGTGAAAGTATTAAAGAAAAAAAACGAATGAAAGGGGTCTCTATTCTCTCCATCCCTCACTTGCTTTTTCTCTCTCCTGCCCACGTTTGGAAAATTCCATGTTGTCATTTGTTAAGATGAGGTGGCCTGTCAACCAATGGGATTGCAGGAAAAAGAGAGTAGGGGGAGGAGAGGGATATTGAAAAGAACGAAAGAGTGAAACAGAGATTGAGATGCAGAAAGAAAGGAGAGAATGGAGAGGAAGAGACACAGAAAGGCTTTGAAACCTGTAGTTATAAGCTGTTGGGTAGTGTAATGAAACAGCTGTCAGACATATTGTGTCTCTCATCGAGTGCCTGTGTCTCTCCATTACTTTCACCCCTAGTCGCCACTTTTTCTCCCTCAACTCACACACTTTCCACCCCCCGACTTATCGTGCTTGTCGCCCGCCTTCTCTCTCTCTCATATTCCCCTTTGGACCATTCTATCCATTTTGTTTACAAAATGGACTTGATGCTTGGCTCTTTCCTAATTGCCTGGGTAGGATCTGTGAGACATGAAGATTGGATGATTGCTGTTGTGAGATCACACACCACCAGCTCTCATTCAGCATTTTGAATGTATTGTTATACACTTTCGAAGCCATTATTATTGGATAATGCTTTTCTTACTTTAATTTTAAGTTGTTTCTTATTAGTCTTACATCCCACCTTACCTGTCTTTATTTGCCTGATTGTGCCTTGTTTAAATTTCTGTGCTTATGCACACTAAAAGGCATAGTGAGAGGTGTGCTCCTGTGTGTTACCAGACTGCCAGCAGTCGGCATCAAACCACACATCCATAGAGACAAATCCAGATTCTACAGTAGTAAGTCTAATGTCACTGGAAGACTTGCCAGGTTGCCAGCTGACTAATATAGCCAGCAGCACACTGTAATCACCTGCATTCTTGGGGCTAACAAAACACAGGCCCGTGTCAGGTTGCTCTCTCAGTAATTGAGAGTCTTGGCGTCATGCAGCGGATGCTACAGTACACGAGGGTAGATGTGTTACTGGCCAGTTTCTTAGTTAGATTTAGGATGGCCTTTTAATAGTTGGCAGTTACAAAACAGAAAAGTGCAGCTGAGGAACAATTTTCCATATGTAGAAGCAGCACAGCTCAGTGACCGAAGGCTAATGCCCATCACCCCCGAAATACCTGCTGCAGAGGAACCGAAAGTGACAGGCTTCTATCACGGGTATATACAGTACTGAACAACATCACATATCTGTACAGTTATATCCATTTCTAAAAGTTTACACAGTATAGCATTGGAGTTTTCAAATTTAATTCAGTTTAGCTTCCAATGTTTGCAGGTAACTATAGTTATAAAATAATGAAAACCAAAGATCTGTTTTCAGCTTTGTTGGCTAAAGCTGTTTTGAGGGATTAAAAAATGATCTCATCTTGAAGCTGCAACCTAAAAATGAGTTGAACATTAATTGATAAGAAACGGTGTGCATGCACTCGTAGAATAATTTGGCTTTGGCCGAGTACAGCCACCAGATTGCAGAGAATGCATCACCAGATGACAGCCAGCTGTTATACTGTAGTTCATAAGCTACAGTTGACATTGTCATTGTCATTTTAACCAGCGTTGGCTACAAATGACCTGCTACCTGGCTGTTTTCTACATGCAGTACACTGCTCTTTGTTTTGCAAGGGGGAATGTTCTGTAAGACATTTGCTAGCTCTGGAGGTTAGCAAATGTTTTGCTAGCTGTAAAATGGATCTATATATGACTGTAAGATACATAAGCTTGTATTTTCAATATTGATGTAGCAAAACCATTTATGCCCTCTTCTGTCTTTTCTTCTTATTAATAGGTAACGTTGGGCAGCACGCTAATTGGGATTGGCCGAAAGACCTCTGATTGCCAGGGGAACACTAAGTACTTCCGCTGCAAATTCTGCAACTTCACGTACATGGGCAGCAATTCCATAGAACTTGAACAACACTTCCTGTCCTCACATCCAAATAAAGTTAAAACTCCACCATCCACACCCCTGCTGACCACCAACAACCTGGCAATGCACGACAACCAGGTGAAAGGGAGGAGTCCGATTTTAGATGGAGCGGAGCGGGTGGCAGTGAGAGCAGAAGACGATTCCTTAGTCGGATACTCCATCCCGGTCAGGGCGTGTTCAGATTCATCAAGCTGGGCAGGGGAGCCGGGTCGAGGTGCTGTGCAGGCATATTATTGGTGTAAATTCTGTAGCTGGAGCTGTGAGTGGTCAGGGGGCTCAGCGAAGCTTTTAGAGCACTATGAACAAAGACACAGAATGAACACAGGAGGCACAGTGAGCCCTAACAACTCTGTGGTGATGGAGAGGGGAGGGAGAAGAGAGGGAGGAGAGAGAGACCACCTGGCGTCCAAAAGCCGTAAAGATCTATCATCCAACCCATCCAGCACCAGCCAAGGTAAATGAAACAGGAGAAAAATGGTGAAATGTGGTGGTGAATTGCTTAAAGTGATTCTGTCAGTGGCATTTTTTATTATTGATCAAGTGTAGAAGTGTAATTTTACTTCTGTTACTATGAAACTGCTCAACTTTGCTCTTCCTCAACACTCCTGACACTACTGGCTCCTACTTATTTGATTTTACTAATACAACAATGCTGTTTGACCCCGTCTTATTTACTTGACCATCCTTGTTTATCATTATACAGTTGACCCTGTTCCTTTAGTTTTCTACACTGAGACCCAGGCTGTTTTGTTAAACAGACTGATTGCTGTGTTTCCTGCTCTTAGGAGACCCTAACAGCAACGATTCAGAAGCGGTGGTGACCAGTTATAACTGCCAGTTGTGCGACTTCCGCTACTCGATGGCCCACAGTGCGGATGTGATTGTTGTAGCACCGTTACTGCTGCACTACCAGCACAACCACTCCATCCACCGTTGCTGCATTCAGCACTGCATGTATTGTCCACAAGGTCTCTGTCAGCCACAGAAGCACTTGGGGGAGGTGAGATCAATGCATTTTTATTATTATTAAATAAACAAGTGTAATCCTTGCACTCCAAGCCACTGTTCAACCAAACTCTGTCTGATTTTTCTCAATAGGTTTCCCACCCCTTTGCTTGTCGGAAGCCCACCTGCCCAAAATGCTCTTCCAAATTTCCTCAGTTCACCAAACAGCAGGACCCCGTTGGTTCAAAACCTGCTACCACCACCTCGCCCTGCGTGACTCCTCCTAATCCTAGAGGTGACCCAGGTGTGATTTCTGGTTCCACACATCACCCTTCTAACCCTACCCATCCTATTGTCACACAAGGTATTTAAAGGCACAAGGTGCAAGAAACTAGAATTCTGACAAACGCAAACCACTTAAAAAAGTTAAAACTAAATTATCTCCTGATTTCTTTGCATTTTCATACAGCGTGACATTTTGTGCCTCTGATCTCTTTACTGCTTTTCTGATCATAGGTGTTACCCACTTGTGCGACCAGTGTGTATTTGCCACCACTGACATCGACATATTGCTGCAACACTACGAAAGTTGCCACACACTTATCAGCCTAAAGGGGGTTCCCCCACATGTCAAGGCTGAAGAAGAGGTTGGGGGAGACAAGGACGCTGGGAGAGGAGCAGGAGGAGAAAGAGAGTATTCTTGTACAAAGTGTCACTTCATCACAGAAGTAGAAGAAGAGATTTTTAGACACTACAGGTGAGAGACTGGTGGGAAAGGTCATGTTAAATGTATGTATTATTTGACGTAATGTGATGCTTTTTCTGACAGGATTGGCTTTGAGACTTCAGAGGGCATTGAAGAGCTTCAAAAGTTTGAGCTCCATAAGGAAATCTACCTTTATGTCAGTATAGTAAAATACAGAAAAGTAATGCCTAACTATAATATGCATAGACAGAAATATGTTTGTGTTTTCATGTGATGGCCTCATTCTGTGTATCATTTTTTCTAAAGCGATTTTGTGCCATGTATTCACTGAGAGACCAAATAGGGCAGCCAATGACTGCATAGATGAGAATTTGTGTTATCCAAAAAAACCAATATTCCAGTTAGAGCCTATTATTAAATGTTCCAGTAAGTTGATGACTGTGGGTTTAAAAAAAAAAAAAAAAACTCCTGGAATTTTCAATTTGACACTCAGTTTTCCAGGAAATATTGACTGAGCATATTCATTTTCAGCAACAGCTCATTAATATCACACAGAGACGTTCACACATAACACTAGGTTTAGAGACCAACTAGTGTGAGACCAACACGTTTTGGCTCATGGCCAGTTTTTGGCTCTGCATTTATTGTATAATGGCCCTGAAGAAGACCACTTTGTTCTCCCACTAAAGCTTTTCTTTATAGTACAAGTCTGCACTTTAAGACTTTTTCCTCTTTCTTTGCACCTGGAAGAAGGTGAAGCTGTGCCAGGAAATCTGCAGTACTTAGTCGCTGTCCACATAGATGAGGTCTCTGTTCGCAGATTTGTGGTCTTTTGAGCCCACTTTGCCCACATCTATTGTTAGGGTGTGAATCAGATATATTTCAGGTACTGGCAGTTTGAAACTGATCAGTTCATTTTGCTCTACAAGATCAGCATCAGGTCTCCTTACCTAATGGATTAGTGAGGACTTAATCCAAACTTGGAAGGAAGTTTAGATCAAGAGCCTGTGAGATGCTGTTGACAATCTTTAGAAAGGATTTAAGCAAGTGCCCTTTCCATCACTTCCTTTTTAAGTTTTGGCTGTCCTGTATTGAGGTGCGCTGCAAGGTGTTGCAGTATTTTGTTACTATTGCAAGTGCACGTCCAACTGACCATGTCAGACAGTTAAAAATAGAATTAAAATCAATGCAGCAGAATCAGAGGTGCAGTAGTTTCTTTGTTTCTCTCATTCTTCCTCGTTGTAATAGCTTATAACCAGCATTACCCAGAATGCAACTCAACCACCCACAGTTCAATCAGAGATTCAGGTGTGCTAAACTAGTAGCAGCTGAAGTCAACTTGCAATGAAGAGTGGGCTACAGAAGTCTGGGAAGCTAGTTCTTACAGCTCCAGGTTTTTTGTTGTTGTTGTTTTTTCATTTTCACACTTCAGTGGCATTTTTATATAATCCTGACAACTGTATTTCTGTTAAATAAGCTTGGTTTCACAGACCTAGAGAGGTCAGGCTCTACATCCAGTTTGTTGTCTGCACAAGTAGACATGTTCGCTGGGGTTTCAGTGACAGAGCTAGCAGTTGATAAAGAAGGCTTGAGTGAGGGTGGGAATGTTGCGGCTGAAGAAGACAGTGACACAGACAGAGATACATAGACCTGGAGCTAGTTGTGTGAAATCTTTTTGACCATTTAGGTATTGATCTGCAGAAGCTGAATTGCTTCTTGAAGTCACAAACCCCCCCAACACACACACACACACACACACACACACACAAGGCACTCTTCTCTCACACAGGCATATACAAAATTACAGTCTGACAGAGCCATCCTAACAAGATTTCTGCTACAAATCAATGAAAGATTTAAAAGTTTGGTTCATTTCAAGGTGAGAAGTAAAGAGGAAGAGAAACAGAGAAAAAGGGATGTGTGAGAGAGAGAGAGAGGGAGGAAGGTGAAATAGGAGAGTGGGTGAGGAGAATAAAAGAGGAAGAAAGTGGAAAAAAAGACAGGATTTTGGAGAAAAGAGGGAGAAAGGGTGACAAAGCAATAGAGGGAGAAGAATGTGGGGTGGATTAAACAGTCCACTCATGTCCTTAACAGAATCTTACCTTTGAATCTTGGAGCCCAGATCAAATAAAACTGAAATAAAGCCAGAAAGTTTCACACCACCACCGAACATCATCCAAACCTACAAGGATTTCAAGGCCAAGTTTTAGAAAACAAAAGCTCTGATTTAATTAGTGGGTGGTCAGAACAAAGTGCCATGGTGTCAGGGGAAGAACGTTACTAGATGAAGCAAATGGATCAATCTCAAAATGACTTCTTCCTCACACTCTCACCTAGGTTCTGTACTGGTATGTCTCTAAGTCAAACAAGTGTTATACTATACTAACACATGCCATTGTTGTGCATTATGTAATTACAATATCAGTTTGGGTAGTTTTTAGTTTTTGTTAAAAAAAAGATACAAAATCATTATCCATGCACAATCATAGCATCACAAATGCTCCATTTATTTGATTAAGCTTAGTAAAACTTAGTGAGTGTGAGTGTGCATTTGTAGACTTGCAACATGCAGGTGCGTGTCTTGATCTTAGGGAGTGTAGGGGTTGTGGCCCTAAACACAGAGTAACAGTGGGCTATTGTAGACTTGTTAACTCAACGCAAGGTGGTTGCATGCTGACACAGATGTCTGGGATGTGCACTTTTGCTAATAAACACAAATGTACTTATATTTGCTTCCCTGAGACCAGTCACAGGTTTTAAATGTAATCTACCTGGAGGGAGCAAAGCTAATGTGACTGTGGTGCATGTTTGTATTTATAGACTCTGTCGTCCAAAATGAGAACATTAGAGGGTTTATAATAGGTAAATGCATGCATTAGCATCACCTACACGTTTCTCTATAGGATATCAAGGAACGCTTCTTGATCAGCCCTTTCCATTTTATGTAGACGATGACACTGAGCTTAACTTTCATGACTTACAGTTGGTTAGTTTACTTAATTAACCGATCTTTTAAAATGTATTCTCCAAATAAGAAAACCCTTTCAAAAAATATAACCATAGTTTAAAGGTAAAATAACATGGACGTGGACAACAATGACATTTTAGTGTGCGAAGAACTCAAGAAGCAATCATATTACGACCAGTCAGTTTTCCTTCCTGTCCACTGAAAAGAAATCTAATTCAGAGAATGTGAGATAGATGCTGCTGTTGACAGTGTTCAGGGTGAAGTCGGATTAGATCCGTACACGCGTGAATGGATGATATAAACGTAATATATCATCTTTGTTTGTGTGAGAAGAGCAACAGTGCGAGTAAGTCAGTCAGTGAGTGAATGAGTCAGTAAGTGTGTGTGTGTGTGTGTGGTGATGACAGACAGAGGCCTCTGTGTCTCTGTTCAGCATCTGGAAACATTTAAGTCCACTAGGTACAAGGTGTACTTTTGTATAGACACATTTTCACAAATTTCTACAAATACTTGGACATTTTTGATCTGCTGCAAATGCAAGTCTCAGCTTGTCAAGATCTTGCTTTTCTACAGCATTTAGTAAAGGGTAAGAAATGGGCAAAAGAGGGAGATAGTTCAAGAATCAGAGACGCACAGCCACAGTGTATATGTACTGTATAATATGTATATGGAGAGAGAGAAAGGGACATAAGAAGACGCTCAAATTTGCACTTATATATACAGTATTTTAAATATGTGTTTTTTAAAGTTGTGACAAATCGTGGTCATAATAAAAGAAGTAGTAGTTACTAGCTAACATGCATGTCAGGTCTCTTTACTGTGCGTATATTATCAAGCACAGGTCTCTGTTATAATCCTGTAATTTGTATCCAAAAGGAAAGGGTTGGTAAACCATGTAAAGACTCCACATAATTAGTCAATAAAACTGTCACATCCGCTGCTGCTTAATATTTTTCCTGTATACCTAAATATAAAGCAGCTGTCCATAGTGGGAAGAGCCACAGGACACAAGAGCAGAAGTTCTTGTTATAGATGGTTGATTGATTTTGCCTGTTGGCATACACCAGAAGCACCAAAGGTTTATTTTCTGGGCCAAGATCAACCCAGCTGTTGTGTAGTATATATACTGCAGGTCAGACAGGGTCTCACCAACAGGAAAAGAAGGTTTTTTTTTTTGGTTTTTTTTGAATCATTTCTTAGCTTTAAGATTCATTTGGCTTCCTCACAGTTTTGTCTCAATTCATTGTGATTCTGTGAAACACTGAGTTACTTTTTGGCCATGGGCTCGGGGGAGACTCTGCCTGAGTGGCTGGAGGAAATCAAGCCGGGAGTAATTCAAATTTAATCAATTCAGGGAGCTTACTTTTCTGATTCAAAAACATTGTATTTATTCTTGTTCCTTTTTTATTTGCGCATAATTGACTCACTGCTTTCTTCTCTCTGCAGGCGTGTCCATGCGTGTTGCCGATGTCGACGCTGTGACTTCACGGCTCCTGATTCATCAGCCCTCCTCGACCATTTCAACTCCACTCACTGTCATGAGTCTTCTCCCTCATTAAGCTCCTTGCCCCCGCCTCCGGGACCCCTTCATTAACCCTCCCAGCCAATGGCGGCTCAGCTCCCTCTACCTTAGCCATTAAAGAAGAGAGCAAGGGTGATCTTCGCCTCCTCTACTCCCTTGCACCACCTGAGGGGCGGTTGGCAGAAGGAGGCAGAGAAGAGACAGGGGGGGTGGTAAAAAGTGAGGGAGGCGAGGAGAAAGAAAGAGAGCGGGAGAAAGGCTGGGTTCTGGGGGAGACGAGAGGACTAGGGGAAAGAGGAGGTGAGCAGGCCCATGGTTTGCTCTGGGTGCCCAAAGAGCGAATGGGACCCGAAAGAGGCCCAGGAGGTGGAAGCCCTTCTATTTTCCCCTCCCCAGTCCCATTATCTTTTGTTTCAGCCAATAATGAGTCCTCGCAGCAGAAAAGAGGTGTGGCTTCGCCAAGCATGGTTTACCTGGGAGACACCAAGTCATTTTTGGGAGATACCAAGTCGTTTTTGGGAGAGGCCAAGCTGTACGGAGGTGGGAGGCCAGGAGGAGTCACTGCAGGTGGAGGGGGAGGGGAGAAGCAAAGCCAGATGCCCCCTCAGCAGTACGGAGCAGGAGGAGGAGGAGGGAGTGGACAGGAGGGGAAAGGAGCAGCCGCTAAAGAGGAGTCCCAGTCCCTGCTACGGGTAAGGTGGTACATGTGCAGACTCTCCTACTCTCCTGTTTCACATTCAATTCACTCTCAGTTAGCCTAATCTTCCTTGTCTCATTTACACCCAAATTTTAGCCTTTAGCTCTGACTGTCTGAATGAAGGCCTGTGTAGCTGAATCTCTCCAGGGAGATCCAACCTACTGAGAGCATTAGCTCTCAAAGTGCTGCTATTAATTCACCTTAATCTTTATTTTCTTTGAATCAGATGTGAGCATACGACCTCAGCAGTGGGCAGCTGAAGTGTAATTTCTCATTCTTCTGTAGATCAACAGATTTACATTGGCGAACAAGTGTATTCGAGTGTCTCCACATGCTCCTGTGGGTTCATATCTGTTGGAGCTTTTGTCCATGTGCATATGATCCTATGACTTCACTTCCCTTCCCAGAAGTTGAATTCATCTTTTTTTGATTAGTTTGATTTTAACTCAACACTGCAAAACTTGCCTGTTGCCACAGTGATGGGGAGGTAAATCTACAGTTCCCATGGTAACCACCTGTCAGTCAGTTCCCTCACCAAGCTTTGTGGTCAGCTTTCTCCAAAATCTTGTCTTTTTTTCACTTTCTTCCTCTTTTTTCTTTAGTGATGTCATGGACTGGCAGTAACTGACTGTGGTTCCCCAGAGCCGCAGAGCTCGTTGGTTATGATCACATTAGATCAGAATAGAGAGAGAGAGAGTGTGTGTGTGTGTGTGTGTGTGTGTGTATAGTGTCAAGACATTGCCATGGGTCTATGTAAGTGGTAGCAGTGAGTGTGAGAGTGGTGCTTGGGGTGTGTGTGTGTGCACATGTCAGTGTGAGAATTGAGTGTATTGCTTCTTGTGAAACTTAGGCCTATTACGTGGGTGTGTGTGTGTGTTGTGCATGAGGTGCTGGCAGTAACTTGGCAGACTGTGTAGGGTGGGGCAGCAAGAGGTTTACTCATTATCGTGGGTGGGGCAGCATGTGTCTGCAACAGAGTGACAGAGAGACAGAGAGAGGGAGGACAACTTAGATGAGAAGAAGACAGGGAGAGTCAAACTGAGGTAAAGATGTGTAGTAAAAGAAATTAACCCTTTAAGTTACTGTTCTTGTCCCTTCTAATACAGAAGTAGTAATAGATACACTTGTCATACCTCCTGGATAATCATTGTTGCATTTCTGTTTGTGCACAGATTAAACTAATGAGAGACACTGTGTTATATTTGTGTGACATTGAGGTGCTGGTTGGAGTATGTTCACATTTTGGACCGGGACAGGCATGATGTCTGCCTTGATTCCCAGTCATGCTGACTCCACACTTATGCCACAAATAAGTGTATTGAAAGTTGACAGCACTGATCATGTTTATTGTGAAATATCCTTTTACAGTGACTAAAATATTCAACCATAAGACTTCGTATCTACCCAATTCCATTATTTGGAAATATTAAAAACTGAGTTCTGTCGGTTTAAAAACTGTTTGGGTACATAGCATGAGTTGACCCCCCAGTGGATCACTAAGGTGGTCAGTATGCACCTACTGCACATATGAAGATATTTGCATGCGTTGACATGCGGTTTAGTGGGAGACACGTTCCGGTGTTGTCTAAAAGCACATCTGCTGTCCACGTCGTTTTTGGATCCTGTCAGTGCTTTTAGAAGTTAATGTGTTCAGTGAGTAAGTGTGTGCAAAGGTAAGAGTAAGACAGCGAATGAGAGGCAGGGAAACAAACAATTCAATGATTTATTAGAGAGGAAAAGCTGAACATAACTCTAATAGTTTCATAGGATACGGCCTGTGCTGTTGTCATAACGCAGGATTTATTTTCAGTTTCCATGGCATGTACTGACATGTCATACAGAAGCACAAATATAATACACACACATACAGCACACGCTCAGGCCGGGGGGTTGACTCATCACTGGGCAGGGTTAGAGAAGTGCACTGATGTTAAGGATCATCTAAAATAACACACATAGCGGCAGCTAAGGACAACCGTGCACACACAGTTATTTAGTTATTCCTGGCCTTTGACGCAACAGGGCACCATCTGAATTATAAAAGGTGAAGCCGCCCAAAGTACAAATTGACTCTACGTAAATGGCAAGTGTGAAGTAGTGAGGGAGAGCTAGAAGGAGAGCATGAAGGAGGAGGAAGAGCAGTGATGGAAACATGCAGGGAGTGGGTTAGCAGGGAGGAAGCAATGGATTAAAAGGAGATGAAAGCACCAACAAATTGCCAAAGTCAGATTTGATTAAACATCTGTGTTTGCCCTTATGTGTCTGTGTGCAGCTTTCTGCCCTTTTCATATGTTTGTATGTCTCCCTGTTCCTCACTCATTCTTTCTATTCCCCCTTCCATCAATCCATCTTTCCTCTTTTTTCTTTCATTCCCCTTCTTTTCCTCAAAGAACAACTCACCTGATGCACAGGGATCAATACACACCTCACACACACGCAAAAGCTTTCAGGCGTGCATACACATTCCCACACAAACTGAGTTCTTAGTATTCTGGTATGGGAGCCTTTTTGCTATGTAGAGAGAGGAGAATATTTTCTTTTGAAAGACCTGATGTACAATTTCTGCACAGCGTTGCCATTTTGAGACATTGCTCTAGTATTACCTTTGTTTGGAGGTGATTTATTACACTGAGGACATTTTCTTAGTCTGAAATTTTATTTTCTGGCTATTTGACTCATTGTATGAGACAAGGACAGAAAGTGGATGAGGTTAGGAGATGAAGTTAAAGTAAAAGCTTGTGTGCAGAGTGAGATGGTCTTTGAGTAATGGTGGATATCCGAGTTAAGCAGGGCTGACAAAGGGCTGCCAAACATATGTGAACACGTGAATATACCCAAACATATGTGAATGGACCCAAAATGTAGATCATCTAATAAATCCCAGATTGTGTTTTCCAAGGGGACTCAGAGACAGCAGACTTGATGGACGCAAGAAGGGAGAGGAAGAAAATGGTGGATTGGACCTTAAAACATAATATAATTGTGTTCATTTTTGTGATCATAATTCAATAGTGAAACTCCGGGGTTTTAAAACTCCCATGCATGACATTCAATTCCCTTTGAGTCGAAACACAGACAGAGGAAATAGAGAGACAAACTGGAAGAGATAAAGAGGAATGTGTGCTTTCTTCAGATCAGAGAAGACTTTCATTAAAGTTTCTCTCGTTTACATTTCTGCCCGACGGAGCTAATTATTTTTAAAAGACAGACACATACACACACGCAGCTGTATTTCCATAAAGTTTTCTTTACTTTGAATTCTATTCCTCCTCTTCCCTCTTTTCTTTGCGTATGTTCACGTGTGGTGTACGTTTGTATGTGCATCTGTGTGACTGCTTTCCACCCCTTGTGTACTCAATTGTGTGCGATGCGTCCGCATTTGCATTTTTGCTGAGTGCGAGTGTGTGAGAGTGTGTGTTCTGTAAGGAAATTAAAGCATGAATTGAACTTATTTTCCATGCTGATAATTTAACACCGCTTTATATCCGCTACAGGAAATTATGGAGCTTATGCTCCACTCAGTGTGTGTATGTCCCGTTGTCTTTGTGTGTTGATGTGTTTACTTGTATATATTGAGAGAAATTAACTGTCATATATCAGTATCAGACAGTTGACCTGACTTTTGTAGACAATTCTATAACGCTGGCAGAAGTACACAGCAAGTGCCATGCAGTCCTCACTGAGAGTCCTTTTGACCTCTGTTGCTTCATTCATTTATTTGCTGAAAAATATGAGTGGAACTCACTTTAGGCGACAGTGCAAAGCAGAATCACTCTGCTAATATACTGTACAATATATGCCTGGGTACTGTGAGGTACTATCACCTGCTCCAACAGGCATTAAACACCAATAGAGCAGTGTACTGTAGCTCTACATACTGTAAGTGGAGCTCATTGATGAGGATGATCTGCTGAAAGTCTGTTAGTGTCCTGTATACACTTCCTTAGGGAAAGGTGAAAGAAACAGACAAACTGATTTTCAACAGACTGCTCCTCCACTCTCTCTCTCTCTCTCTCTCTACACACACACACACACACACACACACACACACACACTCAGATAATCTGTTCTGGGCTGTTCAGTTTGCTTGTGTAGCATTCACATTTCCCATCAGGACACAGACTCAAATAAACACAGCTATGCTGGAAAGGCAACAAAAGCAAGTGTGTGTGTGGTAAAATCCAGGCTGTGTTTAGTGTAACAGAAACATAATCAGACAACCTCTTCACTGTAATTTTGACCTATGTTTGTCTGTGTGTCTGTCTTTGGAAATACTGGTGTATAAGCTTGTGTGCGAGAGTGTGTGCATCGCTGTGTGTGTGTATCTGCTTGATGGGAGTGTGTGTGTGTGTGTGTGAGACAGTTATGACCCGTGTGTGGCTTTACGCTGTGTGACAGTCCACAGCAGCCTCATTGTCTGCTAGGAATATTACTTTTGGTTTGAAAAATACATTACACCATTGTAACCACACTGAGACACATTATGACTATTCCACACATGTCACGCTCGCACACGCACATTACAGCTGACAACATGTGAGCAGGGAGGGTGACAGCTTGGCGTTTTTGGCTCAGGCAATTCAAGAATTAGTTTATTTGCTTGACTTTATCTTGGCTCATGTTTGTATGGTAATCCTCTTTTCAACCGTGTGATTGACCGATTCTGACTCAGGTTTGGACAAAATATTTAAAAATCAAACGTTCCCTCTCAACCTGCTCGGGAAACATCACACTCGGTCCGAAAGTGTAAAACCAGTCGTCATTACTACACCCACTTTAAAATCACGGTATTTGGCAGTGTAGTTTTTCTTTCGGCTAAAGCTTCGTTTTCACTGTGCATCATGCACAGCTCTGCTTTTCGTATCACTTTCTCCACATTGTGCGAATTCAATATGCCTGCCTTAGCTGTGTATAATGCGATGCAATATGATGCTTCGGTTGCCTTGATATTCACAGTGCTAATGTCTCAATCACTTTCTTTTGTGACCACAATTC